CAGGTCGGGGGGCGCGCGGCTCCGGAGAGCGGGCTGCCTGACATACCTGCGGCGGCCTCTGGCTCGGCGGCCTCAGGATAACGGCGTCTCCGCAGCGAACACGCCTCGCGACTCCATTCGGGGCTGTTTACTCCCAACTCTCGCGAAATCTCGCGATGCAAACGACCGACGGCTGGGAGCGCCCGCCCCACCGGCCGTGCGTGCCCTGCGTGCTCGCGCTCCGGGCGCCCAAGACCGTCGGGCCCGGGCCAGGAGAGTGGAAGGAGGTCTCGCGAGGTCTGCGGCCCGGGGACGTGGACGGAGACGACTGGTGGAGCTAGCTGGCACAGAGCTCCCACCTCTGCCCCTAATGCAGTGTTCCAGCTCCTGAGCTTTTTGGGCTTCCCTGTACCTGCCCCCACTTGACTAGCCTGTTTAAGAAACAAAGTTTTAGGGCCCTCCCTGATGGCTCAGCGGGTCAAAGCGCAGTACTATGAAGCTATCACTGCCACTGTAGCACGAGTTCGACCCCCGGCCAGCTGACCCACATGGCGCAGCAGACTTCTCCTGACGGCCCACTGCTCCTCTCAGCAGTGTATTTCAGTCCATCTGCCTATTTTACTCCCCACTTTGTCTCTGGTGAATCCTCACCACACCTCTGGCTTGTACCCAGTTCTGTATGTATAAATAAATCTTTAAAAATTAAAAAAAAAAAAAAGGATTTAAGTGTCACACTTTTAAAAGTTCGCCTCCCAAATAAATTCTGGGTGATTTAGACACTACAGCCACTTACTGCATTCAGCCTGATGTAGAAAGGGTAACACAGGTGACACTGATCACAAATAGGGGAACTGAGATCATTTAAAACCTGATTATCAGGTATTACAAAGAGACTCATCCAACTAACTTTGTAATCTTGGGCAAGTGGTACCTCAGTTTCCTCACCCACAAAACAGAACTAGTGCCTACCTCCTGGAAGAGGGTTAAGTGAAATATACAGATAGTCCTTGAATAAACTATGGAGGTGCCATCTAACCAACACCTGACTAAGTTCTTCCCTCTGAGAAGACATACAATGCCGGGCTCCTTGAGAGGATTCTTGACTCTTGCATTTGTAAAGCCTCAAAGTTAAATAAGTACTTCCTGCTGTCAGCCCTTAATGCATTTGATTTTCAGCTTAGTCATGTTGGTTATGTGTGGTAAATTGGTGTCGACCAGGGTGACAGCCCTTTAAGTCCCTATGCCACTGACTATACAGCCCACATAGTCTTGTGAATTGTAAGTACCATGTGATCCCAGACTACTGCCGGCTTCTGGGGGTCCTATAAAATGCACAGGCCTGGGGCATGACACTAAAGTGGCTTGGCACTCCACCAAGTAAAGCCACGAACCACAGGATCCTGGTTTACTGGTTTTCTTCCACCCACAGGTTCTAAAATCACTTCCTCAACTCATGCTTCGTACATAATAAAGCATTCACGAGTCCATGGGAAGGTAAATCTTTATTCAAAGTAAATACTATTTCAAATAGTAACAGCGGAGCCAATACTGAGACAGAAACACAGGTATACTGGACTTGATTTCAGAGGGCACACACAAGACAGGACACCACTGAACCCTCCAGTTCCCAGATATGACAAAATTTTAAGTAATGGGTTTAAAAAAAACAAACACTCCTCAAAAGCCTGTCTCTATCTGCTATTTCCTTTCTTTCCCCCTTTCTTGAACCCATCACAACCTACTTTGCATCCCCACCACTGACAAAATGGTTGGTGGCAAAACTACCAGTGATCTGCACTTTGCCAAAATCAATGATCGAAATCAACCCTCATCTCACTCACCCTATCAACAGAATGAGACCATGAGATCAACTCAGTAAGTTTCAAAGGACTCTAATAGTCACCTGGATTGTACAAGCTGAATTATCAGTGTTTAAGAAATAACTACCTCAGTTGTTCAGATTTTTTTTTTAATTTTTTTAGTAATGTTCTATGGGGGGAATGTATCTCTCATTATAAACAACTGACTTAAAAACCTTTTAAGCAACACCCCTTCTGAAGGAAACAGAAGCACCTGCTTTGACTGCTAAATGTTCATTGACAGATTGCTTCAAACCCTCCTATTTCTCCCATTCTTAATAAGACACTGCATCTACAGTGGCCCGGGAGGACTCTCAAATGAGCTCTCGCAAAAAGTATCTTGTGAAAGAGGGGCGCTAGGAGAAAGGTTGTGATCTTTCACTTGGCACAAAGAGCACATCAGTGTGCATCCTGCCAAGAGAGAAGTCTACCTGACTGGCGTGGCTCCCTTTTCTCATCATGTCACAATTCAATATCTAATCTAGAAACACAAACCATTACTGTACCACCACACCACCTCAGAAATAATCATCTGACAGTACTTTTATATAAAATTGCTGCTTCTTACTATACATCAAAGGTCACATTTTTCCTAGTCTTAATGACTATAACTCATTGTTGGGTAACATAAAATGATATTTCAGACAAAATAAAGGCTTCTAAGCCACCCCCACTATCATGTCTGGGCTATGTAGTGCTGTACACTTTCATACCACAAGGTCTTCCTCTTATGTGACAAGGCCTGAGCTGGAAGTGGAAGAACTTCTGAACACAACCACGCCCTTCCGAATCCAAGCCACACCTGGAAAGGCATAGGCGACGTCACTGGCGAAATTGTAATATAAAGGCACACTTGAGCCTACTCACCATGGGCTATCACGCCAAGAGAAAACAATTCCATAGAAGTCTTGATTTCAATTTGTTTACTTGCTTCTGCATCAATGCCACACTATTAAGCTGTGAAATTTTATTTTGCATCTATTGTAGTATTCCTATAGTGACATACAACCTCCAAAGCACTAGGCCATTGGTCCTCAAAACTGTTTGGTTTTATAGGACCTGAACCAAAAACTACTGATAGCTGGTTTCAGTGCTAACCACGTCGTGGGCATTGTACCCAATTACCTGCACGACAGTTGTGAGTCCCCACCACAAGGCAGAATCTCATGATACAAACCAAGAATGAGCTTCAAACTTACGTCGACAGATAAAACAGATCACAGCACACACATAATTTATACATTTTTAACAACCATAAACATTTGATGTTAGCGCCAATAACACTACTGGAATGGAATAATAATACCCGGTAAAGTGGACGAACACCGGCCACAATGAGGTCTCTAGAGGGCCGTATTTCAGGGATAAAATGGATCACAGGTTTGAAATCACTACTAGCCACGATAATTATAAATCAAGAAATGACATGTTCAAATCTAGGAATGACTTCCATTATAGCTTAAAAAGAAAAGTAGAATGTAGTAAGTAATATACAGGGCAAACCTATAGCACAAAACTGGGGAGTCTTATTTAAGATGAAAAGGAGTAAACTAGAACTGTAATACCCCATCAGGGTCCACTTTGAGCCACCTTGGCAGAAATTCTTAAAAGTAACTTACCCATAAATAAAACTGTTGATGCACACCACAAACGTGCACACTCTGTCCTTTACAGAAAAGCCAGTGGGAGAGCAGCATTTCCACACACTGGGTGAGACGAAAAGAGCTACACAATATAACACACACAGATCTACTGCTAATACTCCCAGCACAGCGGTCTTACAAAGTAACACCTGTACATGTCTTTCCTGATGAACACTTGAAAACCAATACTAGAAGTTCATCTACCAAAAGAGGTCATCGTCCATAAAAAAAATACTGAAATGAAAGAGCTGATAACTCACATTATCAGTATATTTCAGCATCAGATCGCTGAAGTTCCTAGAATAACATAAATCACACAACTTTTAAACAGTTTGGAGGGAAAAGCAGCAACATGTAAGTTTCTTCAATCAGTCCTCATGCCTCTGCCATTTCTGTGGCCGTTGGAGTTGTCCACAGCCTTCAGTAAAAGTCTTATGTTTGCTTTGCAAATGTGAAGTCCACCATACACCAAAGTAATCAGGAGCAAAAGACAAGACAGCAGAGAAATGAAGTGTGCATCTCCAAGGTCCGAATACTGCGGGTTCCCAGGAGCTGGCGAAACTTCCAATCGTCAGCTTTCATGCACTGCAGGATAAGGCCTCCTTACGCAAAGAACGATTGAGAATGTTCGCTCCCCACACCCAGAGCCACTCAGGCATGTACTGTGCAAAAAGAAACTGAAAACAAAAGGGGAAAAGGTGACAAGGTTAGAGCCCGCGGTCATCCACGAAGCAGCCCGGGCTTCAAGTGACTTTACCGAGATTCACCAGTCACGTTAAATACAACCTGGTGCTACTGTACTGAGCACATATGTTTCAGGATTCAGGCTTAAAGCTTCAAGTGGGCTTGACTCCCTGGGAAACAGAGTAAGTTCCCCCAATATCCCCTTCTCTGCCCAGGCTGCACATGCCCACATGAAACCACGTGATTTTACCCAAGTGGGATAGAAATGGAATGTTCATCTGGTTAAGAGTTACAAAGTTGGCCCTCCCTGATGGCACCATGGGTTAATGCACAGCACTGTGACGCTACAGCAGCCCCTGCAGCACGAGTTCCATCCCCAGCCAGGGAGGGGACCCACATGGTGTGGCAGACCTCTCCTGACCTGCCCACAGCAGTGTATTTCAGTCCATCTGCCTGTTCTGCTCCCTACTCTGTCTCTGGTGAATCCTCTCACCCCCTGACAAACACTACTGGCTGTACCCCAGTTCTGTATGCAGAAATAAGTAAATCATTAAAAAATAAATAAGTAGAGTTAAAAAAAATTACAAAGTCATCCCAGGAATAAAGGCAGCTAAAACATGTGGCTAGTGCTGTATGAGAAAACTGGTGTTTGAGGCTAGGATGGCAAAATATAAGTAAGAAATGATGATCAACAAAAAAATAAAAATAAAAATAAGTAACCAGGGCAAAAGCTACCAGAGAAATCTGCTATGAACAACACAGCCAGCAATGAACCAAAGCTTGTAAAACAATTAGGCAATGTTAAAAATAATTTGAGTAAAATAAAAATGGAAACAGAAGACAAAGTAAAGTTTTAACAGCTTTTTATAGAAAAAGTACTTGAAGCACTAAATGAGTCTCACAGAATTTCCTGGCAGAAAAAAATATACATTCTTAAGAAAAGTTCCTCAGTATGAACAAAATGTAATTATAATTAAAACATTAACATTTATAAATGCAGTGAAAATATCATCTGCCCCTCCAGCCCATCCTCATTATATTCTCATTTCTAAGGGAACATCACAGTCAGTGGTTTCTAAAAATACTTTTTAGGTTTCTCCCCTTTTCTCTAGTAATTAAGGACCTAGAAATAGTCACTTAAATAAAATGGTTTCTTACTAAGAAGACTTCTAGCCAAATCTTCTGATAAAAGGGAAAATTAACAGTTGATTTACTTATCTGTTTACCTGGGTCATTTTAGTGCAAAGAGTTACAAAAACACTGATTTGATAATTATAAAACTACATATTAAAGAATAAAACTGTTCTAAACTAGTGCACATCTACTTCCCGTGCCAGATAAAGAAACAGAAATTTATTATGAACAAGCATTACAAGTTCTCTATCCAATACTTAGAATCAAAATTTCAAATGTTTAAAAAAGCCATTCTTTAAAAATACTAAAGACTCAGGCCCTCCCCAGTGGTGCAGCGGGTTAGGACGCAGCACTGCAAGCAAGCAGCAGCTGCTTCACAGTGCGAGTTCCATCCCCGCCCAAGAGCTGACCCACACGGCGCAGCAGACCTCTCCTGACTCATCCCCTGCTCCCCTCAGCAGTGTACTCTGTCATTCTGCCTGTTCTGCTTCCCACTCTGTCTCTGGTGAATCCTCTCACCGCCTGCAATTCTGGCTTGTACCCCAGCTCTGTATGAATAAATAAATAAATCTTTAAAAAAAAAAATACTGAAGACTCAAATCACTGTCATGGATGAATAAACATTAAAAAAAATTCCAGCTTCTTGAACAAATGAGTCCAAGAATTTGCTGAGAGGCATCTGCCATAAGGGTCACAGAAAATACACACCTGCTTTGCAGTTTTATGGTTGTGGATTGCACCATTTGACCCCTCAAAGCAGTACTACAAGCTCTGTGGCTATGAAATGCCACGTAAAACTTAGAATTTTTATACTGCTACAATCTACTTGGGTGTCACAAAGACTGCACTTTTCAGTGTTCGTAACGTAATAATTCCACGTAAGTATTTGAAGACAACCTGAAGCATTAAGAGTGTCAGGCATTCACGCTTCTCTTCTTTCAGCATTAGGCTCCACTCAAATTCCCAGGGACTGATCAGAAAGCGCTGGGGTGTGCTGACCTATTCGTGTGGGCTTGTTGTCCACTGTTACCTGAATCGAGTGGGACCAGTACCCGGTGGTCCTCTTTGAAATGCCAAGGGTGGAAACCGCGTGATGAGCGTACACTTTCGGGGACGGCACCAAGCAGGGGAGCCTGTGCAGAAAGCTGCTCGGGGCGGACGCGCTGGTAGCCACATAGAAGGGGATCAGGCTCTGCACAAAGACCCCTTTAGAAGCATATTCATACTGCAGTGCTCTGCTGAAGTGGTCCAAGTAAGCCTGTTAAAACAGAGGGCGGTGGGGGGGAGTTTTTCATTTTGGGGGGAACCTGGAGCAAAACTGAGGAGAAAAAAGATTTGCTATTATCCATTCAGGAAAACACAGAGCGCCAGCAAATTGGAGCTGCTCAACAAACTGAACTAATGCACGGAAATAAGCGTCCTGCTTTAGGCCTTCACCCCCCACCAGGAATACGTTACCTTAGACGCAGAAAACGCGGCCAGCTGGGGAGTCGGCTTGCAGCAGGAGCCGGAGGCGATGGTGACCACCGCGCCTTTCCTCCTCTCCACCATGCCGGGCAGCACTATGTGGACCATCAGACTGGCCGCCGCAATGTTCACGTTTATGATGTCCCAGAGCTTGTCCTCGGAGACCTCAGTGAAATACTGGGGGTAGGGGTAGAACACCGCCACGTTGTTTACCAAGATGCCAATGTCTTTGTCTTTCAAGGCTTCTCGAATCGGCTGGTAGATCTCACGGCCAGCACTGAAGTCTGCGACGATGATATCAGTTTCCACTTTGTACGTGTCGGCTATGTCCTGCGCCACTGTCTGCAGCTTCTCCAGGTTCCGGCTGATGAGGATGATGTTGAGGCCCCGGCTGGCTAGCTCTTCCGCGTAGGCTTTCCCAATCCCATCAGTCGCGCCTGCAGTACAAGTGGGGGGCGGGGGAGGCAGAACCATGTCATGAAGCAACCTTGCCAGTGGACGTTGGACACTGTGCCAGGCTGAGTCAGAGCAGGAGTCACACTAGAAACAGCCGAGCTCCCAGTGATGGGTGGAAGGCATCACGGGACCACTCGTGCCCAGGTCCCACAGGCCCCCCCAGACACCCCGTGGAGAAGCTGTTTGCAGTCACCATGCTGATCACTGACCATGAAAAACAGGGGAGCTGTTTTCTGTCTGGCTAAAGGGAAGGCCCGAGGTGCTTTGCTGGGAAACGATGGTAAATTAATATGACATTTAAAATAGGAGAAAATTTCTGAAAGTGGTGCAATTTCTAAAGACAATTCCAAAGCACTGAGCAAAAAGGAAAAGCAAGGGACAGCAAGGTGGGCTGGAAGAGGCCTGGGCTAGGAGAGGGCAGAAGCAGAAGAACACAAACCATAGGAAAATTCTCTGTAAGAAGAGGACAGTGAGAAATTGTGAACATCATCATATAACAAGTGCCACTTTGTTTTTTTTTTTAATCAACATGTTACCATGAAAATACTATATTAAATTCTGTAACTCCTTGAATAATGCGTTGAACTTAAATACAATTGGCAGAGAAGATTATTTGGATCTTAAACTAGACAAGAACTGAAGTCTCATTTCTTACCACTCACAACAGCCCATCTTCCATACTGCTTAATCAGGTCTGCCCGGCTGACCAGGCGAGGGATAAAATGCAGCCTGACCAGGCTGTAAAAGTCACAGACAACAGTGATGCTTTTCCTGGCCGTGTACCAGGCTCCAACCAGGGCCAGCGCTTCCATGTAGCAATTGCAAGACCTGGCGATCTCCCTGTATAAGAGGTAGAAGCTGTCAACAGCAGCCATGGCAGCCTGCAGGGAAGAGGAGAGAGACAGGTGTTCTTCGCTTAGTGATAGGGACAAGTCTGGCTGAGGAAAAGACTAAGGACTTCAAAGCCTGCCAAGTTTGTGTTCAGGTAATAGTCCCAGTTCTAGTGCGTACAGGTCACGGGTCTCAGGCAACAACATCTGCAGCTTATCAAATTCTTTTTTTTCCAGAGACTAGTCAACATAATTACCAATGGTTACCAAACTCCTGCTAAAACTCAAGCACCAAGCTGCTTGCTGCAGACAGAGATAAATACAATCTGTTCTGTGTCCTGAAGAGGCTCCTACTCTGTTGTAATGACAAGCATAGGCTTTTTAATTGACACAACAGTTGAGAAGGATGCTAATTTCTTTACTCATAATCATCAGTGAAGAGCCTGCCACTCCTTAGAGAGCAAGAAGAAACAGCTTTTATTAAGACATGGCCTTGATCTCACAGAGCTAACAATCCACATGGGGCAAAACCAAGCTTTAGCAAACTTAAGCATATACTAAACTTCAGCATATGGTCTATTCTGAATAAATAGTATACATAAATTACATTTAAAAAAGAGATCTACCCCCAATCTTAAAGAAACGATATTCTCAGATGATGATGGAGTGAACATTCTTCCCTCTTTCTAAGTGAATCTGCTCTAGCAGATTCACTAGCATTGCCTGGAGCGGACATTTTTTATACCCACACCAGCATTCCAGCCTACTAGGCTCCACGTACTGTGACGGATACTAAGGATTCCAAAATTAATTAAATAACTGTGCCCAGGAGAAGAGATGGACATTTAAAGCAATATTTTAAAATTAAGACATGGACGGGATATATGTGCCTGTGATCAGAGACAACTCCCAGAGGTAGACAAAAGCCAGACATGGCCGAGATGGATGAACTTCATACTAGGCTGGGTCTGGGGAGCCGCTATGTGCTCCCTGCAAGGCACAGCAATCGCTAAGAGCAGGACAGGCTAGAGTGCAGGCACAGGACACTTACTATGTAACAGAAAATTAATTTAAGCCAAATAATAAAAACCTCTACAGTGGACCCTCTTAAAAAACTCCCATTAAAATCTTGAAACTACAAAAACGCCCACCAAAGCCACGAAGACTGTCAGATGCTTAAGGAAGAATAGGTGAAATCCCTCCCACAGCAGGGCAACGAAATTTGAGCTCAACCAGGTTTTGTAGTGTGAAACATCAAGTCGCAGGAGACAGCAACTGAACCCCTGAGATGACACTTGGCAGGGTGACATCAGCCTAACCGTACATGCAATGTGTCCCATACTCTACAGGAAGGCCTCGACTAAATCACAAAGCAACAAAGACTACAATGACAGCAAACTGGACAAAGATGGACAGCAGGACCCCCAAAAGGTCCACAATAAGGACCTTTTCACTCTAATCAGCATTTTGCAATTGCTACCATATTGCTAACTAAGGTTTCAGTGGGCATTAAGTAAGTCTTTTTCTCCAACAGCAATAGCGAAAATGACTGAAGTTGAGCTGCCTTATGCTGTCTATTTAGGGTTCTGTTCACAGAAGCTCTGCTCCCACTATCACAAAGCCCAAGCCAAAACTGATCATGAGAGGAAAACATTACAAATGTTACTAAGTGCACAAACCAGATCCTAAAGGAAAACAAATCCTCCTTCGGAGATGCTTTCCCTGGGGGCCACATGGCTGCCATTTTCCACATGGGGTTTCCAGATCAGCGGTCTGGGCTCCGGAGGTCTTTCCTTTCCTAGTCAACCCACGCATGCAGGTAAGCTCAGCACTCCTCACTGCTCACTGGCTCATTTGTAAACGTATTCAGCGCCTGTCCCATGTTATCGTTTGTGTTCAGTGTGGGGGTTCTGGGTGAACAGGAACACCTCTCAGAGTTTCCAGACACTGGCATGAGGGATGGTGTATGGTGCCCAAGTTCTGGGGTGCTCTGCTCAGGGGTGACCAGCTTTCTTCTTACCTCTTGTCTGCCCAAAATGGGCCTCCAGGAAAGGGATCTGCTGCCTTCTCTTCTCTTCTGGTCAATCTGTGAAAAAACCAAGAAGAAACAAAGTCCTTTCCTTTATCCTCAGAGCTGTGCTGGGACAACAATATAAAAGAAGAACAAAGGCCATAAAAATTATGAAAACACTAAAATACTTATGCCGTGAATCCCTGTCCAGGCAGCGAAGCACAGCATCTGTCTGGGGATGGGCCACGCTGGGGTGTGACCCTGACTTGTGGACCTCGTTTCCTAAGAGACAAGACCCATTCAAACAGCTCAGAGAAAGATGGTGCTCTGCATGGACACAGGCGCTGGACGCAGGCGGGAGGCGTGCGGGGCGTCCGGCCCCCTTCTCCATGTCACCCCCTTCTCCATGTCTAGCTCTCTGCAAATCGCTACTCCTCCCACCTGCCGGTCCATCTCCGCATCAGCTGACTGCAGCATCTGGCATCTGTTCCTGGGCCCACCTGCACTCAGGTATGAGCACCTAGTCACTACAGCAGTGCATGGAACAGTCCGAGTCTGCTTCCCTCTCCCCGCACCCCAGCGACATGCTGTGACAGCTCAGTCTCTGAAGCACATGAGGCTGTTCCTTGAGGGCCAAGGCCCGCGCTCACTGCTCTCAGTTCCTCTAGCACCTTCTGCCCGCAGGCATGGGCATAAGTCCTGCCATGGCTGAGCCCCACCCACACTGGTCTCCTTCCTCCGTCCTGCTCTGTATCCACAACCCAACCTGTTCCCTCCTCATGAGAGGGGCAACCACCAGAAAAATTCCTGTGAGCTTTTACAAGAAGAAAAACCTCAACCTTGTGAGTAAAACCCGCCGGAGACCCCAGCTCAGGTCCAGAAGAGAAGGGCCAACAGGGTGTTGAGCTGAGCACAGCAGTGTGCAGAGCACTGAGGCCCCCAACCCAGGTTGGCCAAGTTTCCCAGTGTTACCCAGCAGATGCCCTTGTCAAGGTTAACGCCACCACCAGTGGTGAAGGGGCAGTTCTGCCCCCCACATCTCCCTTTACAGTGCATCGTCGCTTCAGTTCACAGAATCAGAGAATCGAGTCTTCAGTCTTGAGCCCCACAAATGCAACCCCATCATTCTTGCAGGCAGCTCCAGATCAAAAGGTCTGACTCACGTTCCCCAAACTCACAGGAAACTGATCAATTCAAACACCAATTTCTGTATGAATAATAAATAAGAGAGCCCAGACGCCCAAGCTTTCCAGGACAGTCGACATGGAAAACCAAGCTACTTGAACAGCCATGAAAAACATCAGTGTCAGACACCAAGGACAGTCACCTAAGAGTCAGGAGTCCCTGTGGCCCTGGGACACAGGCTGCCTGGAAAGCTAACAGCCCCATAGCTAGGCCCCCTGCTGGGGGTGAGCCCCTCCCAGTGAGTCACCCTTCAGGGCAGGGAGGAACAAGAGTCCACCCTGCCAGGACACTGGGACAAGTTTACTGCGGGTCTGGAGAGGTGTGAAAGGCATGACATTTAGTACACGGAAGTCTTATTTAAATGAGGTGGGCAGCCAGGAGTGCACACACGCCCTCGTCAGCAAACTTCAGTTCCCAGCCTGGCTGCACCCCAACAGGACACGACATTGCTTCCATGTCCACATAAGAAGGAAGTAGCATCTCCACTCAGCAGCCCCTCCAAAGGCAACATAAGGGGGTGCTGGTGTGGATGAGACTGCAGGCCAATCTCACCAGGACACAGCACACATCCAAGGCCTTTCTGTTGCGGTTTCACCAGAAACCCAGTTTGGGGGTGGAATAAGTGATACCTTTTTGTTTGGGGTCAACAGAGGGTTCACAAGGGCTGTCAGATTTGCAGGAAATACCCGTGTGGCAAATGAAGTGTTAGGACATCCTCTGGGGTACAGCCATGATGCCTTGGCAGGTGCTGACCAGGCCTGTGGGGAGGGCAGCCGGGGCCAGTGGGGCAGGAGTGCAGGCAGATGCTCAGTCCTGAACCCTGGCGCCCCCAGGTGACTGAGCACAGCTGGACTGAGGGCACAGGGCACATGACCCCTTGCTGGTCCGCAGACATTTCACACATTTGCCCAAACCCGGGCAATTATAGGAAAGCACAAATATCCTCCATTCTCTTCTTTCTCTTCCCCATCCTCAGTATGTGAAGAAATCAGGCTTCCCCTCAAACTGTTAAGTTTTAGGCAACCTCATAGGAACACAGCTTCAAGGAGTATATTACACATTTAAGCCTAGAAGCCTGCCAAGACAGGAACAGTCTAATCTCCGCATCTTCCACCTGAAAAAAGTTACAGTACTTTGTCTTCTTGAGTCTATGGAAAACTGAAGTCAATGAATGAGAGAAACAGGTGGAGGGAAACTGTGAGGGAAACCTGTCCCCAAACAGAAAGAGGAGAGTAATTTCCTCCTGTCTGTCACAGTCAGGGAGGAGTGTTCAGACAATGAAAGGTCCCTATGGAACTGGGTGTCAAGGATGGGCAACTGTAATAAATGAACCCCCGTGGGAGATGCTGATAATGGGGCAGGCTCTATGTGGGGGAGCGGAACAGGGGGTCTATAGGATATGTCTGTACCTGCCCCTTGATTGCACTGTAAGTCTAAAACTATTCTAAGAAAGTAAGTCTTGGCCCTCCCTGATGGCACAAAGGGTTAAAGTGCAGCACTATGAAGCTATCAGCAGCACGAGTTCCATCCCCAGCCAAGGAGCCAAGCCACACGTTGTGGCAGACCTCTCCTGACCCACCCACTGCTCCCCTCAGCAGTATATCTTGGTAGATCTGCCTGTTCTGCTCCCCACTCTGTCTCTGGTGAACCCTCTCACCCACCACACCTCTGGCCTGTACCCCAGTTCTGTATGCATAAATAAATGTTTTTAAAAAAAAAAAGTAACATGACCACTATGAAACCAAGTGAGGACACAATGGTCAGCTCTGTAAGGGGCTGCGGCAGTAACATCAGCCAGACTGAGTTTCCACTGACTGCACCTAGCTGTGAAAAGGACAATCGAGTCAAACAGGAAAACCTTTGTGAATCAAGATTCTAGGAGAAAAGTCTTCCCTGAAATACAGGCATGGCCAAGCTAGCACAGCAAGTGACAGTGGGAGAGGAGCGTCCAGGGCCTCAGAGGGACGGGCTGTGCACCTGCGACAAAAACAGCACAGTGGGACGGGAAGGTCGCGAAGGCCCGCAGGAGGCCAGGCAAAGGGGGAAGCCGTCGTCAGGCCCACATCCTCGTCGCAAATCCCACGGCGTTGTCACCTGAACAAGCAGGGACTGCAGATGTGACTTGAGATAGGAGATGACTGCCAAGGCGGGCCCAACAGGGTCCTGATTCATGGAGGAGTGAGGCCAGAGGCGGGCAGACCTGACTGGGCAGCAGAGGCTGGGGAAAGACGTGAAGACGGAGGCGATCCAGGGCAGGGATGCCAGCGCCCCCTGAATCTCCTCTGCTGCCTCCAGAATGACTCCACCCCTGACCCAACTTCAGCCACGTCGGCGAGAGGGCTGCAGACTTCTGACTCCAGGACCATAGAATACGAGCCATTTGAAACCACTAAGTTGGTGGTAACTGGTTATAGCTGCCAGAGAAACTCCAGCACGCTGGCCAGCTGGAGGGACAGTCAGTCTAGCTTTTAGGACAGCAAAGAGGCGAGTTGCAAATCCTGCAATATCCCCCAAACCAAGAAGCTCAGGCACCAGAAAATAGCCCCAGGGATTCCCATGACCTAGGTCTGACTGGAGCAGACCTGAGGCAGGCCTGGCAGGCCTGCCATCCCCACCAACACAGAGCTGTCCATCTTTTCAGCAGCAGTCTCCCTGGCTCTGGGGGCCAAATCCTCCTCCTCTGAGGTCAGCTCCACACCCCCCCCCTCCAGGCCTCCTAATTCAATCCCAGCACTTAGAGATGACAGGCCAGGCCCTGGGGATACAGAGCCTGCTCGCTCTCACTCCTGGCTCATCATGCCCACCCAGCTCTCAGCCCTCAGCGGTTCCCTTATCCATCCTGCCCTGCATACTGCTTTAGGGTTTACATTGTCTCTCTCTTGGCTCCCCAAATAGCACAGGCCTCTTGAAGGCAGGGAATTTATTTTACACTAATTTTTCTGCGTAATTAAAAAGAAACAGAAACTATGTAAGTATGAACTCTGTTTTGCTCAGCTCAAAGAATACAACAAAACACCCAGGTGGTCACCTATGTTCACAAAAATAAAGTCAGGAAGTCCCTGTGCTGCTTCTAGCCTGGAGGTAACCGCTCCCCTAAATTTCGATGGAATCACTTTCAAAAATAAATTGTGCTATTACCCCGGCATGGATTCCAAAACAACAGTACCTAATTTTGCTTGATTTGGGGCCAAACTGTGACTTACTCCTTTCACCCGGCAGGTTCCTAGACCTGGTCAGCTGTGCCCACACCCTCATTGCTGCTGGAGCACGTAGCCACGCCGCAGCCATCTCCTCCGGAGAATGAACCCACCAGCATCCCCCTATTCACTCTCCCAGCGACCGGCACAAGGTTGTTTTTCTCTTGCAACCACGAACAGTGTGCACAGAGCTCGCGCACGTCCCCGGGGCACCGGCAGGCGTGTCCGGGAGGGACGTGCCCATGCATTGATTCGCCAGGCCACAGCGCATCCAGGCAGCCAGACTGTCCACTAGGGCGCTCGCTCTGCCTCCTCCTCCAAGGTCGGCCATGTTCCCAGTTCACCTCTGCACACAGCGGGCCATCCGGTCTGCCCAATGGGACCTCATCATAACTTTAATTTTCAGTTTCCTGATGCTAATGAGGCTGACTGACAATTTGATACTTCCAGGATGGGTTTTCACCTGACACGTCTGTTCCTAGCTTTTGTCCTTTCTTTTGTTGTGTTGTCTTCTTTTGCTTTCAGAATGGTAAGAATTCTTATTTCTATATTCTAGATGATTCTTATTTCTATATTCATCTAGAATATAGAATATTCTATATATTAATATAGACTCTATAGAACATATAATATATAGAATATAATATATATTCTATAGAATATGTATTATAATATATAGAACATACAGAATATTCTATATATCAATGCTTACTACAGTAACATACATGTTTACATACCACAAACATGAAAGAAACCAAACACTGATTCTGTATGTTCTCTTTACATGCTTTCAAAGGATGGCCGTTTTAGTTTCAATGTTGCCAAGTTCATCCATCTTTTCTCCCTGTGGTGTGTGCTTGTTCTATTTTGCTTTACAAATCCAGTTTTAGCCCAGGTCCTAAGGAGAATTCCCTATTTCCTAAGTCTTTAATTTTGCTTTTCACCTTTTAAGTCCTCAAACTTCCTGCATCTTCCAGGTGGTGTGAAACTCGGCTCCCTCCCTCTTTAATATTTCTCCTCAGCACCTGCTGAGGTGCTGTGTGCACACTACTTAATAAACTGTTTATTGACTGAAATACTGTTTGGTATTCAAAGCTCAAGTTTCACTCTTGAGAAGGAAAAAAAAATTCAGAAGCTTTTCAAACTTTACATCAGCACTGTGACTAATATTATCTCGTGGCTGTATGGAATTTCCTTACCTGCCTTGCAAATTCTTGGCATGCCACTAACTTGAATTAATGTTGGAGAGGTACAAAGAGCAGAAGACGGGAGTGCTCCCCCCGTGGTCCAGCACTCCACAGCATCAGTTCCTCATGAGCGCAGAATTAAAACTTTTAACAGCCCATTCTCAGGTATACAGACAGTCAAGGCAACTAAAACTCTAAGCTCAGTTTTCCCTGGAGGCATCAGGGTAGCTTCTGCAGGCACCAGCATTCCCTGACCTAGACCCCTCCTCTACCTTCACATCCAGCAGCCTAGTATCTTCTCACCCTGATTTCTGCTGCTTAAGAAACTGTTATCCCATGATCACAGCATCATCACTCACGGTAGCAGAGAGGCAGAAAAGACCCAAATGTCTATCAGCATATGAATGCATAAATGAAATGTGGTCTAGCCATGTAAGGGGATATGACTCAACCCAAAGAATGAAGTAGAGGGACTTGCTACTACATGGACACACCCTGAAAACATGAAAGTAAACCAAACACAAAGGCCATCTATGGTATGATCCAGAAGGTAATGAATACCCAGAAAGTAAATCCACAGAGACTAAGTCCATTAGGGTTGCCTGTTCAATGGGGGAGTGAGAAAAGGGGAGTGACTGATAATAGGAGAGTTCTTTGGGGCGATGATGGCAATGTTCTAGAAGTAAGCAGATACACTATAGTACACTACAGATGCTGTTATAAACATTATACTTTGAAGAGGCTAAAATGGTGAATTTGATGTTATATGAAGCTTATCTAAAAAAAATCCCATGATGTTGAAACTCTATGCCCCTGGAATAGAACTATACTGATTAAACCACCACAGAGATGTCCCGGATAGGAAAGCGTCTCCACTTAAGAGCTGTTCTTGTCTTGGGTGCAGGTGAAATTACTTCACTCTGAGCTTTCCTTACATCATCTGTAAACACCGGGATAAAGGTGCCTGTATAAATTTAAGGTGAGAATTCAATGAGGTGATGCACATAAAGTGCTCAGAGCAGGGCTGGAACGGAAGAGTTCAACACTCAGCTATTAGCCACTGACAGTGTTCGATGCTGGCAAGTGGCTAGGGTAGAGGTCAGGTTTAAAACTGAAGCTGATCTTACACAAAAGACTCTAAGTGCTTATCCCCATCACTTCACCCCTTCTCTCATCAACTTATGAGGCAGAGTGACAATCACCCTGTTTACTGGGGTAAACTGTAAAAGACCCAGGACCCCAGAGCTTTTAAGTGGCTGGAGGGAATCCTGATGGAGGTCCAATTAAGTCCAGCGCCCTAGCTAGACTGGAAGGCTCCTCTGGGCGGCCCCCCGACGAGGTGGCCTTGGCAGGAGGGCCGCAGATTAGATGTGGAACGGGGCCAGCTGCACTGGACCTCTGATCCTTTCCCCTCCGGCGCTTGGCGGACCCAGCAAAAGGCCACCGCCTCGGAACCGGCGGTGCCCTTTCCCCCAGAGATCCACGCGAACTACTTCTAATTCAGAACAAAGACGACGTCGGTAAGCCCCACACCAACTAGATCTATCACAAAGGGGGGGATACGGAGGCACTGGCAAAGGGAGTGACTGTCAGAGCCGCTGGGGAGCCCGGGGTTAGGTCTGAGGGCTGTGGGGCCCGCGCTCTCGGTGGGTGGGGTCGCAGGAGCCTGGGAGAAGGGGACGGCACAGGACAGGGGAACCTCTGGGGGTGCAAGGCCGGGGGCCGTGGCGTTGGGGCAGGAGCGCTGTGGGGCGTGGGGACGCAACCAGAAGGAGGGTGACGGGGGCGGGTCCAAGGAAAGGAGGGACGAGAAGGTGCGGGGCCACGGAGGCGCACCTGGGGGCGCCGAGGGGCGCCGGCCCGAGGG